ACAGATTTTTTTTCTCTGTAAGAACCAGGCACAATATGACATGAGTTCAACTAATCAAATTTTAGAAATAATGGAAGTTATAGAATCGGAAAACAAGCAGTCTGTTAAATAGTTTAGTTATAAGGGCCAGTCAGGATGGCTTCCAGCTATTACAAACTGCTAAGGTATCAATCAGAGATTTTCAGATCCAAAGATAGGGAAAACAACACTGGAATACAACACACATTTTTATTTTAGGTGGATATAATTCTCTCTCTATGAAATATTTATTACTGGTTGATACACCCAAAAAATCGTTTTCCAGCATATATTATTCAAGACCAAGGTTAGCTTTCAATTTGGTATGATATTGGTTTGATTCTTTCTATTCTTCTCTTTGTAAATAATCACAGTAAATACCGATAATTTCAAAACTATACGCCCAATTTCGTCATGAAATCATATTTTATGATTCATATATTCTTACGCAGGGTACGCAGGGTCAAAATAACCTAAAATTTAAAGAAAATTACAATTTTGGACCCAAAAACGTAAAATTTTGGGGTGCCCAGCCCCCCGCCCCCCACCACCGCTTTGTAGCCAAGCCAACCGCCAACCAGAAACGTGAAACGCAGCCTAAAAACCGCCTTCTCTCACTTTTACTCACTTGTCTTCCCGTTGGACGATGATCCTGTCGAAAAAACAAAGACCTGAATAAGAAAATCTGAACAAAACAATGGACAAGTTAGCAGTTGATGTGGTTGATGTAAGCATCCCATTTTTTTTAATTTCGTCTCCTTGAGGAAAGGAAAAGCTGCAATATTTATTTACTAATTCTTTCTACGCAGGTTGCTGTAGAAAAGGCCCTTTTAAAGCAGCTCAAGAAGTTCACTATCACTGAAGTGTATGGTCGCACAGTGACTAAAAGGAGGACTAAATTTTCACTGTCCTATGACATTCCACCTCCCAACTACCTTTCTGGAAGCAAGGGAACAGCAGCTCAGAGGGAGCACTTTGCAGCTATCCTGAATCAAATAACCTTCAAAACTATGGGTATGAATTTCAGGGTGAAATGTATTCGTCAGTTAACAACATTCCGTACAGATGAAAACACGCAAAAGTCTGCAAAAGACATATTTTATCTTGTGATCATCACAAGTGTTTGATTACTGTTCTTAAGTTAACTTTTAATTTGCTTGAGGTGATACAGCATTAATTTTATGCTAAATGCAGAAAGAAAAATTGATTGGTCGCAATGAATGAATTTTTGTTAAAGATGCAGAACAGATTAAAAATGAACTTATTACCAGCTTCTTCAGTACTTTGTTTATAATATATACCTCACCTCTCAAAAATCGAACAAAAAACAATATAGATCGTAGGCCTGAAGCCAAAAATCCATCTAATACAATGAGCATTAGTTTAGGTACACTCAGATATCATTTTATTCCTAGAACATACCATCTACTGATAAGAGGTCGTCACCAGTACATCGTCCAACAGGCAGGGTCCCAATGGCATGTGGATACATAATGTTGTCCGAAATGTCTGGTCGGTTGTTATTTGAAAGCGGAAGTCGGGGAACATAGTCTGGAAGAAATCCACGCTGACTTGTTATTGGTCCCAAACCCTTCTGTCTCACAATCCTCACATTGATACTTACATTTAAAAAAAATTTCATATCCCTCTTCTTTTGCTCCTTGGTATCATTTTCCCACTCTTCCTTTGACTTATGCACATAGGTCCAGGGCGCCGAAAGACGGTACTGCGCAAATCTAATTTAAACATATTCACAAATTCATAATACATGAACATCAATGTATCTTAAAATCGGGTAGATCCTGGAGGGTCCCCTTCTGGAGGGTC